CGCTTCGAATCACCGACATGTGGAACAGCCTCCCCGATGACATCGTTGGCGCTCCAAGTATGAACGCGTTCAAGAACAGACTAGATAAAGCTATGGAAAAATATATGTTCAGATTTGAAATGCCTAGCACCATATCGAACCCGGTGGAAGTCTAGTAGCTATTTCAAAATTTCGTCAGTCATGAAAAGATCCGATCAAATGACACGATTTTAGATCTTCTGTGAACAAGGCACGAAAAGGAAAAGAATCGGCGACAGGCCACATCAGGCCCACGCTTCAGCGCCGACATCACTATGTTATGTTATAACAGCGCCTTTTTTCCATAAATGAGAAAATGCGCTAAAGACAATTAATCAGTTCGGAAATAATTAAGAACAATAGTGAACCACGAAACGAAATTTGAGCGGGATTTCTTTATTGAGAACATTGCTCTAAAACGTAATTGGAATTGGTATGTTCTGACCTCTGGTCAAGACCTTTATATCGGTCATTCCCGCTGCATAAAAAAATCTTTTACTAGCGTAAAAAATTAAAAGTTTACGTCGTGCTCGGCAGTTAACAAAAATTTAAATTAATAAGTATTCACTACAAACCTAAAAGACTAAAACATTCAGTTATACATGTCAACATCGTTAAAAATACGATGTACTAAAACATTCGGCACGTTCACCTTTGCCTTCCCACCCTCCCCTCTCAAGACCCCACTAATCATCCCCTTCCTCTCCCCCTCCACACGCTTCCCAAATAAGTATCCTAGTACCGTCTTCTATTCTGCTAATCTCGAACTGCAGTGAACAGGTTAACGTCTTATAAATACAGCAAAATAACTGGCCTGAACACTGCTAGTAGTCGTGGATCATAGTAAAAGTGTTCATTGTTTAGTTGTTAATAGTGTTCGTGTATATAGATTCTCTTGTGGCTTAAACGCATTTTTGTCCGAGATAGTATATTACTTGGGACCTGCAGCATTGCTCCCTGTACAATCTCATAATCTCGTGCTCGACAGCTTTTAAACCAACACGGCCTCTGATTAGGAGTGTAACTGATTTTAAAATGATGTGTTTCTAACATGCTGTCTTTGACTATAAATTATTTATTGCCGAATGAATAGCGTCTGTGATTCTCTTGCATGATGACTGCAAATCTGCAATCCTGAGGTGGTCGAGCAAGTAACGACTCGCAGAGCAGCTGCTCCTAGCAAAACAAATGAGCAACAGCAACGGAGCAACAACAAGTCAGCAACCTATTTTATCACTATCAGTTGCCCTCGGGACTGCTCCAAGGTTGGTTGTACGCCCGCTACCTACGTTGTTTGTATCCGTATTACCGTGTTCTATGAGACGAAATCGATATGTTAGTGTTACACGAAGGAATAAAGAAGCAACCCAAGTGCCGGGTATGTGAATATTGTTTCGTTCTCTATTGATCATACGTACCTATCGAAAGAAACAAACTTTGATTAATCTCTTAACAAAATGTTACATGCGTTTAGCGAGTTGTCCCGAACATACATCAAAACATCATCGTTGCATTTTTGTCGCTGGCACAGTTCCCACAGTGAGAGACTATAGAGAGCGTGGGCTATAATTAGCACTAATTTTTTAAACAAGTCATTCTTCCCTCCAATCAGCATATTGAGTTTATTGGATTGGATGCAAGTGCGAAATTGCACAAGTGTCTTTCGCTCAATTTTTGTACTGCCGTAGCCTACTTGCCCTATCTCGTTTTTACTTCTTTGTACTATCTCTTTAGCAAACCAATGTTTAAACCAAATTTCTACTGGGTAATGAATATTTAATTAAATGCTTCGATTTAGTTTTTTAATAACACTTTCGTGTTGTAATCGATTACTTTACTGTCGCGTTTAGAATGCTGCGTAGTCGCAATTAAATTTGCAAAAAGCTTTACATATATGGAACATATTTCACAGATTCTTGCTCCCACAGCGATGACGAATTATGCTCATTAATTAAACGAATGATTATGCGTATTCAATTAGAGCAACGGTCGATAATCTCGACGATATACTCGCGAGGACATTCTTGAGAGAGAAATTAGGCTGCTGTGTTGGACAGCTTGGATATACAATATAACACCTGGTAACAGCTCAAAATCGGCTAGTTTATTTTTTTTTTCAGCTGAGTTAGACTAGTTTTTGGGCTCTGAGTCCACAATTCTCATTGGTTGTGCCCGAATAGGTTGATTTTCTGTGATACAACTATGGATTGGCCCAACTGACGAGCTATATACGCACGCGATTTGTCATATCGTAAATATTTGGAGCGCTTACCGCCGCTCTGATCACAATGCGAGTTTAAAGATCGCGGTTCGGGATCTCAGATGGTCGAAAACTTCCTCAGGGGTCAAAGACGTACGTATCATTTGTCAAAACAATACACTTTTCAAAGACGTACGTATCATTTTCATCCGTAGAAGGCATGCGGAACACGTGGAATACCGTACAGCTGCTAGGTGGAAGCCTCGTGTACAGCCAAGATGTCGTCGGTCTTTTTAGCGCATTTTCTCATTTATGGAAAAAATGCACTATTGTGCTCGCCATGTCCGTCTATCCGTCCGTCTGTCCGTGACCTCAAGTTTTCGTCGACGAGAAAATGCGCTCTGTCACTCACTGCAGTGAGTACAGAGTTATATTTTTTTTTGAATTGTCGTGCTTGGAAACATTATCACTTATTATCGCCTAGCTTTTACCTATTGGGGTTAGCCCTTTACTGTTGAAAGTAAAAAAGTGTAGGTAGATTTGACGAAGACGGAAAGCGAATATGTCATAAGAATAATAACATTTTACAGATTTTTACGTACAAAATGTTAAACATATTTTCCTTTACTAGAATTCAATCATTCTTAAAGTATGTTATAATTGCGTGATGCTAACTGTTCAATATTGTGTTTGGACTGAGCAGGTCGAGCTGCATGCTCACCTGGAGGGCTCCATTCGTCCTGAGACTGCATGGGACCTGATCAAGTTCGTTCCATTTCTATGGTTCTATAGTGTCAAGAGGCAATAGATCTTTCCATTCTTCGGTTTCCAATGCTAAGATACACCTGGTTGTAGAATAAAGTGAATTATGTTCGCTTATATACTACGAAAGAAGATTGTTAGGTTTTAACCCGGTGCGCTATAATTTTGATTGGTTAATTAGCGGCTTGCTCTGATAATAGTAGTTATATATACATTATTATGGCTGCATTTTGTATTAGAAAACACTGCTGAAGGTGATATTAATTATTTATTATCAAGGGCATTCAAATTCTATGGGAATATTTCAAGGTTCTCGTAAGAAAAAGTGTCATTTGAATCTCGCTGTCTCCTCTGCCGTCGTCATGACAGATCTGGGTACAACTGCAAACGTGATCGATACACGTGCTGCTACCGATTATACTGATATTGATATTATTGTAGCACTATTGATAATTCGTAGATTTTAATTCCATCTCGAAGTTTACTGTACACCTTTCATTTTATCTGAATATTTCTGCACTCAATTCGATTTTCATTTCCAAGTAACACGCATAACTTCTCTTCTTCATTGACTTGTCATTTATGCTTGTTTGCTCATCATTTATTCCGAGAGAATTAAAGGATCTTTTTCAGTTTAGTTCATCTCATTGTTTTTGTCAGTGAACTTAAGCTGAACTAACTTAGCTGCTGGCAATGAAAAATGGACTTTTAGTGAAATACCGTCTTGTTGCAGGCAGAAAGGGCTGCCGCTGCCTGGCGACGGTTCACTTAGAGCCCTGCAAGACGCCATTACAGTTAAGGAGCCCACGAACTTGGTTTGCTTCCTCCAACCATTCTCCGTGTTCCTGCCTGCCTTCATGTGAGCTCATGATTTAAAATTTTACATCTTGCTTCATTATCGTTAGTTGCTTAAATGTCTTTCTGTCAAATTTCACATAACGCAGACTATTAATCTTAAGTCATATTTTTCTATTGAATATGTTCTCCGCTTTGCGCCAGTGAGAGATGATTTGAATGTGATAAATTTCCACTTGGTAGATAAATTAAATGACTCAGTGATAATTAATTAAATGACTTTTCTAATAATGCTCTGAAATAGGTATCGATGAAACTTTAAGGTTTGCTTGCAATTGTGGAATGAACGCTTGATCATCGAATTTGAGCTAAGTTATTAACAATTAACTTATATAAGATTGTTTCCATTGTAACATATTTCTTGCGGACGATATTATATGTAATTGGTGACCCATCTCACAGCGGAGACTTGACGGCAATCCGCCGCGTTGCTCGAGAGTTCGTCGAGGACTGCAGCCGCGAGCTCGTGGCGTACTGCGAGGCCCGCTTGTGTCCACAGAAGCTGATGCCCCAGACGGAGGGTGATCCGTCTTCTTGGGCTGATGCTGACCGTGCAAATGATGCCGATATTAATGGTAGCCATTATGATTAAAATTCTCAATTGTCAATGCTACATTCTATGATATTATTCAAGGTATCACAAAGTGACATCGCTACTAACTGTGCCTCTATTTACGTCGAAACGGTGGCTATAATGTGCGGTTCTACCTGTTATTTCAACTGCCAAATTGATGAACCGCCTTAAAAAAAATACTTTTCTACGAATCTAAAAACTAACTACGCTGAAAAAAGCCGTTTATTGAATTTTCGTTCTGGTTACATTGGAGTTGCATTGTTGCAGTTGACTCTTAATGATCGTATTTGCCAATTAAATTCATTCACCGGTTTCTTCAGAACGCAAGTTCCATAGCGTATAGAGCTTTTGCCATTAATTTGCAGTTCCAATTTTGACCCGTCTCATCCGTAATAACCATTCACGGTTGTGCAATCCATCTGTCTTCCAGAACGAACTGAGCAGTGTAATTGTATGCATAGATGGCTTATTTTTAAAGCTCATTCGGCAACCACGTGATGGCTGAAAAATATCGCAGGAACTGGGAATTAAGGAAGAAATGAATTGATTAAAAAAATACCTCTTATGCTTGCATAGTTAAATGTACCTCTTTAACCTCAGGGTCTCAAGGTTGTGCCGTGACGGTCGAAGAGTTGGTTGAAGCAGCGCTGGCTGGGTTGGCTGAGGGTGAAAAGCTTTGTCCGGGCACTAAAGTTCGTCTCATCCTCTTCTGTATACGCGGCCAGCCATGTCAGTCCTTCATTAGTAAAATAATTTAGTTGAAAATTTATTATACGGTAATATAATAGTTTAGGGTTGGTCGCTGAATTAACGCTGGTCCTTCGCGGGTAGGAGAAGTTGAAAAATACGAGATTCGTCTGTAAACAATTCTTTGCACTCATACTTTGCAAAGAATTATTCTTTTCATTATTTGTTATTCGTCTTATAAGGTCCATGTGTTCATTCTTTGACCCAAACACTACCGAAAACTTCTCACTTCTCGCGTGCTCAGCTGCGTAGCTCTCGGACGGATCTTGAAACTTTAATTGAGTTATGATAATAATTACTCCCTACAAAATCGCAATTCTCTATTATGTGACTACTGCAAGAGAGAAAGAGCTAACCGACAATGTTTTTTTTCGTTGTTTATCTGATGCGCAGCGAACTTGAAAAGCAAATTTTGGCTCTTTGTAAAGAAAGAGCTTCTGTGATGGTTACAATTTAACACAATTTTGTCTATTTACATACTCAGTGCCGCTCTTTTTGTGGTTGTGCAAGCAATACTGGTATAATATTTCAGTGGATATAAAATCCAAATATGTAGTTGCCTCAACAAAAAAGTATTATGTGTTTATGTGGGGTTTCAGATGGCCCGCAAATGTAAACCAATTTTCATCAAAATCAGTGTGGTGCATTTTTTTCATTTGAACAACGCATCGGAAGTGATCAAGCATTCCCTATCTCGAGAATTTTTCACTTGCATTAGTCATTAGTTCATGAAAAGCTTCAATTAAATTCATTTTCTAATGTATTTTATTGATTTTTGAATTGGAAGCATGAATAAAGGCAATAACAAATTTATTTATTGTATCATCATTTACTGGACAGACTGGGCTGAGAAACTACTGCAGCTGTGCGAGCAGTTCAAGGACATGGGAGTGGTCGGTCTGGACATCGCCAGCAACCCCGGGTTATTGAACGATAGTGAGTACGAAGAGCTCGTATATTTGCCCATATTGTGCTTATTGTTGGCTTGCTGAAACAAAAATCCTTCTATTCGTTTTCAAAACCTGCCTAGTGCCTACACGTGCACATTAAGCTGGACTGAGAGGGTCTTTCGTACTTTGGAGGTTTACTCGTGGATTGGCGATTGACTGAGAGCTGAGATTGCCAAGATTTAAAAGCAAAGAAAATTTTACAAATTTTCACAATATCTTCAAAGAAAACTTCTCGGAGTCTAGCTCCATGATCAGCTTGAAAATTCTTCGAAAACAGATACAATCAGTTGTTAGTTCAGTCGAAATTCAAAAACTGAAAAACCAGCAATTAAAATCTGCGTATCAAGCAATTATCGCATGTCATTGACAATTATAATTTAGTCAATATGTATTGGCGACATTGTTGACTTCATGATTGAGCGGAAGTTGGAAAGAATTTAGTATTTTAGTGAATGTAAAGAAATCTACATACACGTGCTGCTTCTTTTAACGCATCAGGTTCGCATGTGTTTGAGAATATGGATGATGCTACCAGCTCATAAATCATGGCTGAAGATGTCAAATGTTACGTGTCAATCCAATTAATAGGTCGTTATTGCCTTTGCTTGCCAGTACTTATTATTTTATATATTTTAAAACTGGCTGATGATATTTAGATATGACTGAATATGACAAAATATGATATGAAAATACGCATCGTGATCAGGTTTCTTCTCCTTGGTTTAGTGGCCAGTAGTCAATTTTGTCTAACATATATTTCCCCAAATCGAATATCATCGTTTGGTCGGATAACCGAACCAATTGTAGCAGCTGGAGATAAATAATCTGTTTCTTGTCAATAGAATGTATCGACAGTACTTGCTTTTAGCTGGATCTTTACCTGGTTACCTAGCTGCTATTGGTCAACGGTATTTTTGAGTTATATACTAATAACACTGGATTCCAATAATCGAGACGCGGCATGTTGAGTATTTTCCTACTGAAATTTTACCCTTGCTTCCTTGACTGAGAATCGTCACATTATCTATGTTTTTGAGTAACAATGATCGAACACTTGCATCTAGCGTCATCGTAAGCATGGATGTAAAAGACATTGAGTTATTACATGCGTCCATTTACTTGTTTACGTTGCAGACGACACACACAGCGAGGGCGCGGAGGTGTTCCAGGAGGCCGCCCGTCGCGGCGTCCACCGCACCGTCCACGCCGGCGAGGACGCCCCTGCCGCCTCCGTCAGAGCTGTGAGTCGCGCGTGACTGTCAGTAGACATTCAGGGACCTGAGAGAATCCTGTAAAATTGTAGTGACTGTAGTCAGTCGGATCAGAGCTCCACCCCGTACTCAGGTGACAGCAGCATCCCTGCAGCTCACTTCTAAACGCCACCCCGTACTCAGGTGACAGCAGCATCCCTGCAGGAAATCTACGAAAATTATAAAATAGATTACGGGTTTGATTTCTATACCATTTTATTTTTTTTCCTGGCAATAGATTATTTTTGCTATCCATGATGCGGAACGCTACTGACCTTATGTCGCTCTTCAATATCATAATTTAAGCTTTATATCTGAATGTTACCTATCGTACATATTATGTCCATCAATACGAGGCTTTTGTTCGCTTGCTCCTAAGTAACCTGCTATTGGTGTTACAGGTTCATCGAGGACGACGTGAGCTTCAGCATCAACAGGGACAACTCGTTGCTGACGGCGACGTCTCTGAGCGACGAGTACAAACTCCTCGCGTCCTGGGGCTGCTCGGAAGCCGTCTTCGCCCGCGCCGTCAGTTGTGTTCACTTTCTTACGAAATGAAATGTGCTTGAAACTTATTATGAGACTATGAAGTGAGCTTAAAACTATTTTGCGTAATGGCTACGAGACAGTATTCAGGTTGTGAATACATTATAAAAGTGAGGACCATTTTACAGGAAGCATAGGTCCAAATCTTTGATAGAAATTCTAGTTTCAGAAACTTGTACACTGAGGACCTATGATAGTGAGATAAATCAGTTGATTTTAAAACAGAGTAATTGTACTAGACTTATGTCTATGAGATTTTGATTTTTACTATAATAAATTTACGTTGACAAATTGATGCCGCGGCAGAAATTTTCATATAACTTTAGAAGAATTCAAATTTTTGCCAAATGTGTGTTCTTCTCTCTGTTATCAGCTGTGCTTTATAAAAATACACGTATATTCTGACTTGTCTCATCAATATAAAAACTTTAATTATAAAATTACACTTCTTCCAGAATTTCAACGCGGCCCTGCACAGCTTCTTGCCACCTGCAGAGAAGCGGGAGCTGCTGCGTCAGTTGCGCGACGCGTACGGCGTGCCTGACGTCGACGTCAGAATCTCAGACGGCGATTCTGGCAAGACAGCGAGTTCTGAAAAGCCTTGTATCACTGTCAATACCTGGGAAAACAGAACTTGAGGGATCACTTGTCTTACTTTGCTGTACTGAGCATTATCACTGCGAGCTTTGCTTGCCCTGTTGCATTATCAGCAACGGCAAAATATTCACCAAATCATATTTTTTATATAATAAACGTATGGTCCATATTTTTGTTAGTGCGAGATGTCTAGTCTGCAATCGACTAATCCCAGAACGACCAACTTGCTTTTTTAAGACAAGAGGAATGTACAGATAAGCTTTGTTACTGATTTTAGATACAATCGGTTGATAATTAACAATCTCAAACAATCTCAGTTAATAAGTGATCATGTTCCAAATGAGCAACAAATGGTTAGACAAGAGTCAACGAAATATTCATGCATTCTTCTATACTGAGTTCCGATATGAGCTGAAAATGTTTTCCTGAGCCCAGATCTCCGCCTAAAGTTGATGATCCACGTGTGAATTTTATTTGTTAACGACGCACCTGGATGTGATGCCATCTCTTGATAGCAAAGGTTTCGTAGTCCGCCGATAGTGACGCATGGGTCGTCGGTAGTGACTTATTCCATGACGTAGTTCCTACTTCTAATTATGTTTTTACTTTATGTTAGTTACAATAGATCTTAACTTAGTATGTTATACCAATTTTGTGCCCATTTTGAAATGTTTATTCGCTTATCGGTAGTCGTTTGAATTTATAATTCGCAATTACCAATTCGTTCCGCTTTCTGGACGTTCATTAGAATAAAGATTATTTTTGGTTTCTTTAAACTGAAAGAAAGCTTAGAATTTATACACTTAGAAATCTTAGGCTGTGAAATTGGCCAAATTTTAAGCTCAAGTGTTAAATTTTTCCTCTCCTCAAATTGTTCAGTTTTTCTCAATTTTTTCGAGTTTGTGCGCTGAAAATTATTCTGTAGACCATGTATCAAACTTATCTCTCCCACTTATTTTTACTTAGTACCTTTTTAAGACTGAAACTGCAGTGATATAAGAATTTTAATATGAATGAGATGAACTAACGTGTCCTCGAACGATCGTAAAGATCTTAATATTTTTTCTGATGCCTTGCTCGAATGTGTCGGGGTTTACGTTCCATTTATCCACTTTCTTCCAGCTCGAGGCATGTTAGTTGGCTACGTGACTGGTTCAATAAACGATTGTATGCTATGCTATGTTTTGGACGGGCTGATAAGTTCTTTTTCTGCCATATGATAATTTTTTTGTATTTATTTTTGAAAGAAATATAATAAATAACAATGTCTATAAATTTCTTCTTATGACATTGATGACATTTTCATGCAATTTATTCAAATCCGACTCTTGAATCTATGGCTAGGAAGACATACGCAGCCATGGCAGGGCACGGATCTGTTTCGTGAATGTTAATCAAATATTTTTATTTAGTGAACATATTTTTGAATGATTGAGTTATATTCTATGGGCTCTGTTTTTCATGGTAAGTTTCGTTAATTTATCCGCGACAGATTTGATTGTATTAATCATTTTTATTCACATAATTTATGTACATAATTTATACTCGGAAGCTCATCTTATACGTATGTCATTTATGTGTATACGTATTTCACAACTGAAATGTTTATAAAAACCAAGTTTTGAAGTTAAGTAGTTTATTAGCCAATTTGTTCCGTAGATCTGACTCATCCAATGGAGGTAATATCAATTGATGGTGAAACTATTCAGCCAATTGAGATGATATTTCAATAGGCTACTGGTAATTTTTTGTGTTGGAAACCATTTTGGTCGTGGCAATTTAATTCCATTTAAGTAAATTTGCCGGATATATCTGCAGCAATTACACCAATTTACATGAGCAATCAATTCTCGTCAAACAAGATTATCATTATGGCTTGGTTTGTTCGGCTCTTATCTTCGACTTTGAAATTTTTGCCTTAAATTTCTTGTTGCTCTTATACGACGGTGTGATATCGCCGCCAGCATTCGTCACCTCCATGTCGCCGACCGATCCGCCAATATTCTCCTCAATCCAGGATTTGTAGTGAGCAACCTTGGTGTAAACGCCGGGTTTTCCTGGCGTGGCACACCCAATGCCCCACGACACAACACCCACGAGGTTGCACTCGTCGGACCGCAGCGTCGAGTTCTGGTTGCAGCAGACCAGAGGTCCTCCGGAGTCGCCCTGGGTAGCAATGCAATGGAAATTTAGCGGGCACTTTTGATCCATATAAATTGTGGTTTATTATCTTGGTTCAATGGTTTGATGAACTGATGCAATACAGTGAGTATGCAACAAAATGCATGCATGGTCAGAGGCTGTGTAAAAAAATAGTTTTTGTTTGTAAGTCTAATAAAACGGAAAAGTATTCTGATGGCAATGAAAATATTTCACTATTAATAAAAGAAAATTTAGTAAAGAAGACTAACCTATTTTGATGGAATGCACCACTGTTTGACTGTAAGAGAAGCAGTAATTTCGCGAAAATGCTCAATAATTATTGTCTTAGACTTACACGATAAACCTAATTTGACGTTAAACCTCAATAACATGCGAGTCGTTCCGTCATCAACATCTAGCAGCTCCTACGTGCTTTGATGTCAATAAGAATGAACATCAAAATATTCATTTAATTTCTTCCAACGAATCATAATTAAGTTACATACCTCGTGTTAGAAGTTAGAAAAAAAATGTCACATTCAAATTTTTTAAAGCCCTCACCTGACACGCGTCTTCTCTGCCGCCGCCTGCGCAGACGTGGCCGTCGGTCAACGCATAAGTTTCTGGCAGGAAGTCCTTAATGCAGTCCTCGAGAGACCGCAAGGGCACCTGGAAGACTTTTTATCGTATTTTATCATTTATGGAAAAATGCCCTATTGTGCTCGTCATGCCCGACCGTCTGTCTGTCCATCTGTCTGTCTGTCTGTCCGTCCGTAAGTTCACGTTATCGTCGACAAGAAAATGCGCTCTCTGTCACTTCATTGAGTACCGAGTTTTATTTTTTGCAGTACATTCACGTCTAAGATCATTTATAAACTGCACGGCTCATGAGTGCTCATGATTCAATGCAGCTCAAGTCGTCGGGTAAAAGTTTTCCTACTCATTTCTTTATGCAATCAATTTTCGATGTGAAAAGTGTTGCGACGTAATTTTTGGTCTCATTGTTTTACATTTTTCTTTGTGTCACGCACGTGCAACAGTTTCATTTTATCGACAGTGGTTAACGTATGTATTGTTTGTACGCACACGCGATTGTTTCGCGTGCGCGATAGTTTCGTACACGCGTACGACATCTTGGATTATTGCCGGCAGTTTTATACGCACGTCTGGCAGTTTTTCCGCACGTCCGAAATTTCCTAACTATACATAACGAGAAGAACCAAGCAACGGAGTTCTCAATAACCATCGGATATTTATTCTATTAGGTATTATAATTCCATTTGTATATTTATTTCATTAGGTATAAATAAAGTAGCAATATTACACATTAAACAATAATGTATACAATAATAAAATAATAATATTATACCCTGACTATTATATACAGTTGAATAATTTGATTACTTTGTTAGTTACGAGGAGGAAGTTGGACACGAACGAAAACTAAGTATTTTGCATTAAATTAGTTACAAACTTGATAAGGCTTTGTATATTCCACCGTGCCTGACTCACCAATTCATCATCATAAATTTTTGCGATTGACATGGGTCCCGATAGCCTGTAAAAACACTGTTTTACCGCTCGTTTCTTGGTTTTTATGGCCGTGTAGTATTACTCCCGTCCGATGAAAGGATGCGAGAACTATGATAACTTTTATTCATCTATATCAATCTCTAAAGAAACTTTCTCTCGTCTTTTTGAGCAAACATTAAGCATGACTCACCCAAACACCCATGAGGCGGTCAGCAACCTGTCCACCAGAAGAAAGGCGACCAAAGCCCGTGACTCTGCAGTTCTCTTCGCCCAGATCCTCGCGGGTCTCCAAGGGGATCGGGGTTCCTGCGGGTCATATTCTTAATACTCCCGATTAATTGGTTTCCGAAACAAATTAATCATCAATAATATGCGTTTAAAAAATATTTTTTTAACGACAAGACTTCTAAAGAATTCAGTGTCGCCGATGTTACAAATGTACAATGAATTTCTAATTTTATTATCATATATTAAAAATTAATTTTTTAATTTTATTTTTGAAATTAAGAAAAAATGTCAAATTATTTATTCTGTCAATTGATACATGCATTCATTGTCTCCGATTTTACGCAAGTGTGCAAAATTTCAGAATAAATAGGAGAAGTAGAATTAAGTGTGATAAATATCGATTATAAGATACGTAGCAGACAGACAAACAAACAAACAAACGAGAAGTGAAGTTAAAGAGAAGTGTTGTAAATAAATAGAAAGCAAAGATCCTATGAAATTATGACCTCGTTGCAACAAATCAAATAGTTTTAATTTTTGACATGCAGATTGGTAAATTGTAGCTGGGGTGGAATGAGTTGGTTAAATCATAGTTATTAATTATTTAACAAGTTAATTAGTTATCTATTTAATCGTAGGGGCTTCACAGTTAATGTCCTTGTAATATGAATGAAATTTTAGTTTGTATAACTTTCCAGTAGTAATCCAGCAAATTGATTGAATGTAAACAGCCTTTTCACTTATCTCTCATAAAATCTTGACCACATTCATGACGTTGATATCTTATTTTTAACACGTTTGAAATGTATTGTTTCTGGCCATTTTTGACTCAAATTCACACTAATCAACCGTTATTTTTTGCGCCTATGGTTTTGATTGAGATCGAGGAATGGATCCTCTAAAGTGGTATGAGCTATGAATTTAAATGGTATAAGCGACGGTACCCTTTCAAAGTTATACGTGTTTCACAGTCATTAATGAGCCTCATATGGAATGTTTTAGAGTTGACACAGTCATTGTTCACCAGATCTGGAAGATCGCGCGCTGGGCGCCATTTGGAGCAGAGCGATGTCGTTCACCATGCTGTTGGGGTCGTAGCGTTCATGGACGATTATTCGGGACACGGGCACCACCGCCTTCATCGAGTCAAGCGTGTTGCCGCCGTAAGCCACCTGCACTGCGCCCGCTCTGACGACACATCGAGCACTAGTGAAGCTCAAAAGATTCGGTAAACATTTTCCCTGGATAAAAAAGCTTGAAGGTGTGGGGTCAAATATAAATTCTATTCAAATCTAGAATACAATTAAAATGATATTAAGAAATAACTGTCGAAATACAATTCAAAGAGAAAGTAGAGAATAAAAAGATTTATATCTTCAAAGAGGAAGTACAGAATGAAAAGGTTTGATATCTGTCATGAATACATGATCTTGTAAATTTTGCCTCACTTGAAGTTGACACTGCAATGCGCTGCCGTCACGACCCATTCGTCACTGATCAGCGTACCTCCACAAAAATGAGCCCCAGTTCGGGTTTGAACCGAAACCTGCCACATCGCATCACCTGGAATGCGAGATATAATGTCTTTTCTGATTTAAAAAAATGTAATGGTTCTAATCGCGACAATTTACGTTTCAGATGTGAAAAGGCGATTCATGACCAAGATGGTTTAATGGATTTTATTAGAAGTTCATTTTTAGCTTTACGTGCGTGCTCTTAAACTTCCTGCAGAGCTAAAATTGAATATGGATGTAATTATGATATTAATTTCTCATGTATTCGGCGTCTATTGACCTTCAGGGACGGGTTCTCCGCCCACGATGCGGCCGGGGCGGACCAGCGCCTGACAAGCGCCCACCAGCAACACCGCCACACAAGCTCTCATCAACGCGTGCATGTCGTCAGTTTTCTGCTCAAATATTTGAAATAAATTTAATTCGATTAGGCCCTAATATTTCTGTATGATTTTTAAATCTGATCATGCATAAAATCAGTAAGTAGACTATGACTTTTAATGCGCAAAAAGAATTAAAAAAATAATCACGTGATAAGGAAAGCAAAGTAAGTGGTTATTTGGAGTCGTGTGATTGTGTTACTATAAAACTCGATCAGATTGACAGTTATATTTTGACTCCTGGATGGGTCTTGGGCGGCCTACTATCAGCCGGAACGCTTTATTTATTAATAAATTGTCTTGAAAAGTTAATGCAACCAATATTCCTAACGAATTTCCATGTACATTTAATTACAGAAAATCATCACACACTTCGCGGGAAATAATCTTCGTTGAATCTTCATTGAAATTTCTCGAATCGACGAACAATCTCCAAATTGAATGAAATGGTGGGTGGTTCATTAAGTGTTTAATTTGTTATCTTCTTGTAGCTGGAACACGACAATTGCACTGCGTATTATTTTATCGATTTCCCTCGCAAGGGACAGAACTTGCATACACATTGAGTTGGAATTCTTTCTGAGTATGAAGAAATGGACTGACGTGCGAATAACACGTGTTTTGGATTGAATACCATGCACCATGTGTACTCGGTATACTGCATGAGCCTTGCAGCTCCAGCACACTTGCAGCCATATTTTGTGGCAACCATCGACTAGCAACTGACAGACGCATGGAGTCGTAAATGTTGTAGAATATGTCAAAAAGAGGACCTGTGTTGTTAAATTTTTTTAAAGTTAAATAGTAGTTAGGAAATTTCCATGGGCAATGCTGACAAGCCAACGGACCTCCACGAAAATGATGATCTGGGATGCGAACTCGACGAAGATCAAATAATTTCATACATACAATCGACGCAATCCATACATTCGTTCTTAGCAACGTTTAAAAAAATTTTAATTGTCTACTTTAGATCTCATTAAAAAATTCATTTAATGAGATCTCAATAATGTAGATACCTAATATTCTAATGTTCATTGGACAAGTGACGTCTCATTGTCTTTTGGGTTTATCGAATCTGTTTAAAATATTCTATAAAAATGACTGGATTCCGAGATTTTGAACGATCCGTTACACGCGCGTTATTGAAAATAAATAAATAAGTTGTAAGTCTATATGACCTCAGTATATTGAGACTATATATGACCCCTTGTTTAAGTCTATATGACCCCAGTATATTGAGTGGTGGCAGCTCGAATGTTCGGGTTCATGCTATGAACTGCAAGACATGTTATGCAATATTTAATTGTCATCGAGGTTAGCAAAAATATGAACACAAAATGCACAGCACATCTGAAACGTCCGTGTGTCACAGCTGCGCGTGCGTCATTCCTTTCCAGCGCATGAAAATGGGAAACTGACAAATTTTATAACGTCAATTGATTTCACTCAGTCTTCGCTTTGGCTTTAGATAAAAAATAAAGCATTTTTGAAGGTTAATGGCCTAATTTACGAGATGCAATTACATTTTTATTTGTAATTAAAAATGCAATTTTCTTAATTGTTGAAACTTTCCAGTAAAGGCATACAGTCATTGCAGCGGTAGTTATAAGAAGTTGTTCTCTGATTGGTTGTTTTCTATGACTTATTTTCTCATGTTCTCATATTCCCACTTCATATTGTTGTAATAATAAATAACGAAATGAGTAACAAAATAGTGAAATGTACATAAATTTCCATTTTATGCGAATAAATATTATTTTTACTATTATGGAAATGATCCTATACAAATATCAGGAGATTTTCATTTCTGTAAAATTATACAACACTTTTCGTTTAGAATTACACTTCTCTATGGTCGATGCACGATTGATATGAATTTAACCCTATAACTGGATCACTTTGCCTTGTGTTCTTGAAATATTTTGGTTGCGTTTAAATGGTATGACCTTTTGTAAAAGTTGGTTTTAAATCGAATCACTTGATGATTCAAATTGGTAAACACTTCAAAGTAAAAGGCGTTATCTCCCAAAACAGTGTTAATAAGTAGAAGAAAAGTGCAAATTATTATCCCCGTTTACATTAATGCTTCAATATTCACATTAATGCTTCAATTTTCATTAATGATTCAATTTCAAAAGAAGACAGCACGTTTGAGTGAAAGAATCAATTATGAAGAGATAACTTATGAGATTTTACTTCGCTGCTTCATATAAAAAAATGTATGCCGTCTAATGCAATAAGAATGCACATTTCGGAAGCCCCTGTTCAAGGATTCTGACTGAAACGAGTGAAAGAATGCATATATAGGCTGGCAAATGAAGTTTAGCATCTCATTTTGCTGACTTCGTCCGTTTTTAGTCATAATGCACGTGTAAAACTGAAGTGGAGAATGCTAAGTCAGCAACTCCTAAAAAAATTTTACTTGCGAGCACTGACTTCAGTGTGAACTGACAAACTGAGGCTTTAACACAAACAATTTTCCTCCATATGGACATAGGATTAACCCAGTGAAAAAACTTGACGCTTTAACCATTTAAAGGGAACTATAAAGCCTCTAGTACGTAATCCTCAGGTTGCAGATGACAACGACGTACATTAGGGATTATGGGAAGGATTGAACGTTCGTATTTTAGGAGTCAAATGAAAAAACGCATTTGAATTTTGCGCAAATATGCATAATTTTTGTCACACATGTCTAAACATTCATAGCAAAATCATAAAAGATAAACAGCAGTGTCCAATTTATTTTCTTTTGCCGTTAAAGCTCTTCAATTCTCAGTGCCATGAAATTCCTCTCTTATAAACTAAAAATTTTTATCAACAAAGATCAATTGACGCATATTCCGAATGAAAGCTCTAGCAATAAGAATCTCTGCCGTGAGCAAATTTTCAGTCTAAAAAAACATTTTTGCATCATAGATTTACCAATGAAACATAAAGATATTACGAAATTTCTAGAATCAAATTCACTTCGTTAAATCTGAATAAAGTCACCGGAATGTGGACGCATCCGCAATGAGTATTTAGTCAGGGCATTTTGCAGGGCCTAAATATTAAAAATTTTGGACATTGAAGGACATGAAAGGTTTAATTGAATTGAACACATCTTTAGCTCCTATAATATTATCCCAGTTATCTTGAATCCGAATGTTTTCCTGTTCGCATGTCACTTAAACAACATTGTTCTGAAAAATTCGATTTATGGTTTTGTTTTAAGTGAACAATTTTAAATATCGCCTTTTCATGAATATATCTCATGCAGCGTAGCGTAACTTTAACTTGCAGAATATAGTATTTTTATAATTTAATTGTATTAACACATTCTAAACTCTGGAAGATACACTAATTCAAAGCTAACAGCAAAACTAAAAGCTAAACACACATCAATATAATTATTTTAAGTAGCAAAGTTAGAGGTTAAAACTATGGTATTGTGAAGTCTAACGTCGCCGAACAAGCGTACGTGAGTGACGTTATACAATTGTGGAAATATCACATTTATAGTAATTTCGAATTTAAACGTAAAAAAAAAACAAATAATTTAATCAAAGTCCAATATTTAGAAGAATATCAATATCTGAATAATATTTTATATATCACATGTAAACACGTTTGTTGGCTGACCATCCAAGATTTTCTTATTTTTTGCCTTATATGAGTAACATATTTATATATTTTCATATATTTCGCCCTTATATATCAAGTCAATGTTACACAAAATTTTCAGTAGGAATGCACGAGAACTCGCCACACAGACTACACGTTTACAGCAAAGTTTGGAAGGCACTACTGCACCACTGACCTGGCCTCTGGAACACCTGTTTCTAAATGAAACGCTAGCACCTGTTTAATCTTAACTTAAACGCAGGTGTGCTGCTCGGCGAGTAGATACGGCACCGAGATCTACCGAATGACGTCAATGCTAGCAGCTTCAATGCTATTTCATTTCAAGGCCCATCAAAAGAGGTTTCCAGCCAGAAGCATCGCAAGTTTATCATTGCATAGTCCAATTGAATGGAATTATAAACTGACATTTACTGTGCGGAAAATATTACCGTCATGTACACGTCTAGTTCTTTCTAACAGAGTCAAACGAATGTAACGTGCGGAATTAACTTTAAATAATCTTTCATATAATTACTTATTACATATTTACTTCATTTTCATTAAAAATGACTTTACATGTAACTTTCGGTCCGTGCAGTTGTTGACAGGGAAAATCGACCGTCGGAAGTACAGTTTGTGCTTATATGAAATTTATTAGATCTCTTATGGAAACTAAAACATCATTTCGCCGTACTCGTCTATGAATTATTAAGGAATTATCAGAAATTCAATACAAATGTATAGTATATAAATGCCGAACCTACATGGGCCCGAAGCGTGACACATATTGCAGGCCCTTCATGCACGTTTCAAAAGTGAGTGCTGAGGATCAATAGAAAGATTAGGCGGTTCTGAAAGTGACATTCCTCGCACCGAGTCCGCTCATCAACACAACATATGGCAGGAAGCCAGGAGCACGCAAGTCATAATACAGACGAGCGAATAATTTTCTGACGAGCTTGAAATATTTTACTTCCTCTTCAAAATCATCTATTCTAAGCTGAAATTAATTCAGGTGTAATATTTCTCTTCTTGGAGTTGTTTAAATGCTGTGAGAATTGTTGTAATATTGCAACGGCGGCGAAATTTGACTAGTTGGCTGGAATAATCTAATGCTACCTTTGATGTATGATGACGAATACTAGGTTGAATTGGCCCAGAAGAATTCTTTACTTCCGAGAGAAGGAGTATTTATCTAGAAGCACTTTTCAACAAAATTCCTTAGTTTTTATACAGTTTGATCAATGGGCATTGAAACGAATTCATCACGAATTCATTTCAATGCAAATCTGCGGCTGCATACTTTTACAACGAAAGAAAGTGGTATACGGCTACATCCATTGCCATGCACTTGTATAGTTGACAACCAGACATCGCAAGCACTCGCCTTCACTGAGCTTCCGGATCATCCATACGACTTCCTGACTTGGCTCTCAGTTCATCCAGACGTTGTTAGGGCATGGTATCAATTAATGTAGATCTGGAATTATCATTTCAATAATAGCAATTATTCAATTTGCTGTTAGTGTTTTCCGCTTTCGTTTAGATTTTTCTGGACTTTTGGCATCATTACGATCTTTTGTTTTCGCTTGTTTTAGAGATAGGCTGGCGAGGACTATATGGAAGAACGCATTATAATCCTCGCATACGCAGTTTTGAAATACATGTGCGGAAAACTCGGTTTCTTTTATTATGTGTGCAACAGTTATTGCAAACAGAGATAGTCCCCGAGCAACGTCGCCAGCAGTCGCCATCACTTGGCTCGGTTCATTTGAGAACAATTCATCTCTATGCTTTTGCATCAGCGTCGTCACATGGTTGCCCAAAAACTTGTCTAAATAAAAAGCGGTACAATTTCTTGAAAAGTCAAGTAACGAACATCTGAATGTCTTTCTACACATTAAGAAAGGTATTCGGTCGACTAAAGTTGTAAAATATTTCAACCAAACCGTTTACTATCAAAGAGGAAAAAAAGATATCTTATTCCAGACACGATATTAATCAGAATTCTTCGGTTATACGTAATTAAGAAATTTCGACGAGTGAAATTTTCTTTCATTGAACAAAGTGATAATTATTTTATTGTTCTGTTAAAAATATTTATATGAGGACTGAGGGAGTTGGAATTTAAGAGATATACAATGAGAAAAAACTCCCCTCCGCGATAATTGTCACCAGTGCGCAGAGACGCCGACTTTGCGGCGCGGTCGGGGCTCGCGTTCCTGACAAATCTCACGCTTTCGTGAGCACGTCAACACATGCTCCCGCAAACAGCTCTTTAACGGACTTCTTGGCTTCCTCCGTATAATAAACGAGATCTTGACACACATCGCCCCTCTGCTGCCACGTTTCTTTCGCTCTTATTACGCGTGTACTCGAAGCGTATTTAATATTTTAACACATCGCAACTTTTCCGTTGCCCTACCGGTTTTATAGTCGCACCTTCATGATAGAAGAAGTCTTAATTTATAGTGAGCCGTAATAAGAGCAGGAACAGGCACACAAAAAATTCAACTCTGAGTAGATCGCGCGGTTGATATACGACCATCAGCATACTTATATGATTCATTTTCACTTAGACATGACCATAAGATAACGAGTGGAGCAAAAGCATAATCATGCTCACAAACAGATTCTGAATGTCCAAGGTGATTATTTCATAATCATACGATACCTAACTTCGTTCATCGTATAGTTACTCTCATTTTCACTAAACGAGCTTTAGACTGCATTCCTAACATTAAGGAGCATTGCATTTTGAAATAAAAAGGTATTAACTTGTATCGTGTTATCATTCAAATGACGTTAATTTTCATCTCAGGCCTCATTCGGCAGTCTACACACTCGTCAACATTAAATTCTTTCTATAGCTCATTAATGAGAAGGCAATTGAAACAACGTGTCTCTTTCATCTCCACTTGACTCAATAAAACCTGTTAACTTATTCATGCATCTTCATTAAAGCGTCATTGCTTACTCATGAGCGCCCAAACCTTACAGTCTCTTGTCCAGCAGGGCCAGAATTTCTTCTCCTAAACAATATCAAAATATAAAGAAACGTTGCTGAATTTTTCCTGCGAAAGAAATTATTCGTTTCTCTTCTAGGAAATTTAAGTTCACGAAGAAAAAATTCGGCTACGTTGAAGGTAAAGGTAAAAACTATCATGCGTCGATCAAAAATATTTATCTTTGTATTTTAAAATAGGTTCATTTATTTATATACGCCCTTACCATCCTATAAGAAAACAATTTACTCATTTGAAGTTTTTTGTTCTGTGAGCTTGTTTACATTATCCAGACGTCTGTGAATTACAACTAAAATATCTATTCAATTATATCGCACTTATGAAAGCTAGTAGCTATCATGAAGCATTATAATTGCATTACTCTGTAATGACAGCTTGGGAATCAATCAATAACCATCCCCCCTTCAAGAAAAAAAGCATCGAAACTTCACCCTAGTTTACTATTATTAAGATGCAGCACTGCCAGACCAATCAGACTATGGAGAAATAACTGCCTTCTTATTTAAGAGCACACAATATCATCCAACAGTGCAACAGTTGGATGATAACACAATATCATCCGGAGCTCAACCCGCACGTCCGCACTCGGACACGGTGGCTTCTCGATGAACGCTTGCCGCTATAAAAACGAGCGACTGCTCTCGCCGAGTCTCATTGCGAGTTTAACGTTTGAAGCGGTGAGGTGTGGATTGTAACAGTTTCACATTGTCGGCATTGTCTCATCTATTATCATGGTAAGCTGGTCATTGGAAATATTTTAGCATTAATTATTGGATTTTATGGGCATGATGTTAGCTTGCTTATTTGAAAAATAAATCACTGCGAAAGTGCAGTAAGCGTAAGTGATATTTGGTAGCTATTCATATATCGTTTTTGTGAAAAGTTGCAAATATAAACACTATAAAATAACAGTGTCAAAATGCTTCACTCAAACTTCTACGTCTTGAATTCATAAAATATCTTTTTGAGTGAAAGCTACCGTGCGTGATTTAGGTTTATCGAGAAACACGATAAATTTGTAGCATACAAATACCGGTGTTGCAAGGGAACGAGCAGCTAGAGGCCATGTTCGACTGATGCTAAATCGTGACAAGTCAATCGGCCAGAATAGAGGTTAAACTTTAACGATTTCACTGAATACCAAAGAGTTTTCAACAGTCCAAAATTTTGTCTGTATAAAGCTAATTATGTCAGGTTTGTTTAAATAACCGGCACGTCCGGCAGTCTTACAACTGGACCAGTATCTAATGCCTAGTTACTAGTGCTTCTTTAGAAAGAAAACTATGAAAAAGCTAACTAAGTATATTGCAATTAATACTTGAACATTCAACACAGACAATAAATAAATCACGGACATCATTAACTTGCAAGTATCGGAATCCAAAGACGTATTGTATTCAGTTTCGATCATGTGGTCACGCTCCTATTGTCGGTATAATTTTCCTCTACGAGAATGATTAGTCACTCTATGGTGCAGTGGAGTACCGCAACGAAACGTTTGCACTGCGCGCGCAGATCAGCTTGGACATGCACGGACCGGATCCCTCGACGGGAGATGCTGAAGATGCGAGTCACTATCGACACGCATGTACTTTGCGCGCGTTAGTTTCAAGTTATTTATTGTGCATTTAAGTTTAATTATAATTAACGCGCATTTTAGTTTAATTTCATGTGTGCCGCTTTCTTTCTGCCAGTCAACAGCTTTCATTTTTCTTTGTGGTGTTGTCTAAATTACTCCGTTTATGGCTTTTGTTATAATGAATCGCCTTTTCCTACCCCTGTCGACTTCTTAGCTCTTTTATTTGTTGTACTATAATAACTAAATATGCCATAAGCTGCTCGTAATCTACCTTATACTGAAGACCATATCATTTCACTGCTACATGTGAATGAAACCGTCACATATGCGTGGTGCAGTCGACGTTGTTAGTGTGAAAGCGTGAGCGAGAAGCTGTCTGTCTGACTGTTCTATTTAGCTTTCCCTGACAACGTAGCATTGAGAGAGCACTGAGAGTTGCAACGACTTTGTTCCTCCTGGGGCAATTATCGAAAAGTTCACTGCCGAAGCTTTTATAAACAATTTCAAGTGATGTTAAGATTGATAATCGGCTAGAAAACTTTATTTCATTTACTTGTGTTATAATTTATTATTTATTTATATTTACAATTATAATCCGATGCTTCATAATATTAGGCATCATTGTTCGCGGCAGGCAATGTTATCCGTTTAACAAAATACAATTTAAATTTAACTTAACACGTTTTATATCATAAAAAGTTCGATATTCTAACTTTTTTCGGTTGTACAACATGCGTTTTTAGACGTAATCTGTCTTCATCTGATCTTATAACACAACTACGGTTTAAATGAATGAAATAATCACTCTTTCTCTTATGGTTATTAAAGTTTAGCTCATACGCTCGGATAAGGAGTGAAGATAAAACGTCGTGTAACCGAGTTACCAAATGCACGGTAGCCACAGCAATATTATTATGAAGCTGCCAGTTACAGTATATCAGTGCCTTCTGTATAGGCTTGCGTGATGTCGCTCATCCTTGAATGAGAAGAAAGTTCATTCCTCCGTAGCACAATTATTACATAACAGAGAAAGCAAAATTAATTCTGTTCGAATTGAACACCTGCACAGTTTCTCGCATTAGCCAACACTAGCCAGCTGTCTGCTTGGCGCTAAATGTAGATGAACCATTGTCGTAAATGTGGATGAACCATTGTCGTAAAGGTGGATGAACCATTGTCGTAAAGGTGGATGAACCATTGTCGTAAATGTGGATGAACCATTGTCGTAAATGTGGATGAACCATTGTTGTCGCAATTATTCACCGACTTCTCAAACGTATGCATCTAAGTTTGACAAATCGTGTGCGGTAGCACTTGCTACTATTGAGGCCGCTCATTTTTCTAGGAAATCATCAGATGTGCAACAGCCAATACGGTCAGCCAAGTTTGTTTCTAACTTCAAATTTGGTTAGTGGCTATATTATCTGAGCCCAATTCTTCCTAATTATAATCTAGTGTATTGGATGTGATTTAATTGATGATGAATGCACGAAATGCTTCACGCGAAATAAAATTGGTTGATAATGCTAGGTATTTTCAGAGAGATTTTAATTATCATTCGCTGCTAAAATTTGCTGTTGTTGTGTTAGATGACGCGAAATCGATTCGCTTGTAATATTCCCTGGCAATAACTTCATATCATATAGAAAGTACTGGTTACTAATAAGTAAGGATCAGACGCCAAAAATAATTGCAGGAGAAATTTCACTGTCTTTAAGTGACTCATTAAATATGCATTAGCGGAAAGTCACGTGGAGTTCGTTCATACGTATTTTAGACGTAGCACCGCGTAGAGAAAGTTTTCTCACTTTCTTGAAAGTTTGTTGCATTTTAAGACGACCGCATAAATACAGGTCCACGTATATGAAGTATCATGTAATAGGATAACTATATTGATAAATGGAAGATTTGTTAATGATTTCCTTGAAAAAAAAAACGAAACATCTTCGTATAAAACTAAGTGATTGAATATTTTCTACGCTGCTTGCTCTCTGTGCACGATTGAAACCTATATTCGAGTTTTGAGTAAAAGATTCTGGAGTGTGCGATGTATGACGAGGTGTCTATTTAACGTGCCGCTTTAAACCTAAAATCTGGATTTAGGCTGAACGGAGGACACAATAGAGAGTTTCCAGGTATTTTAAAATATATACAGAATAATGTTTGCATCGCAGCTTCGCCATTTGCTACTTATCTATTTATTTATTTTTTTGCTTCTGGAGAGTCTCCATTAAAATTTAAATTAATGTGACAACACATCTGCATAACAGATTAAACAGAATTCATGGAATGATAAAGTGAGTTTACGGCATGCTTCTAGCGGAAACGAATCAATCTTGATGGACGTGAAATTGCACACGCAGTCGTCCTCGAGCCTATCTGTATTTTAGAACTGCTATGAGATCTTATTTTAGATTTATGTAATGTTAACTCTTTAGTTTATTTTACAGAAAAAAATCTCATGGGTAAAATTAAATTCCAGTTCATAATGCACTCTCATTGAAATAGATGTTCGTTCTTTAAAATCCAAGAGTTATTAATTGCAGCGTTCATGTCATTTTTGTTAAAATTTATAATGACAAAATTGACATTGGCCCATTCAAGCAAAGAACATATCTAAAAGCATCTCTCCAGGCTATAATGATATGGACGACAACACTAATTTTTTAAATTCACGGCGCATAATCAGGGCAAAAAATCTTAATGTTTAATTGTAGTATAATGGAAACACATACAATCTGAAATCACCGCATCAGCGCGGTGCCCTATCTGGTCCCCCTAGCTGTCATTCAGAGGCTGCGTTAAACGGAGCCGTTATGTAGGTAAGGCGAGGCAGTCCCGCTATGTAACTATCTACTTTTCTTTAGTAAAACTTTGCTGTTTACGTAAGATAACTCGTATGATATCATGGAACCTGGCCATATATTATAATCCTCACGATTAATTCGAGTGTTGAGCACGCGATGTATCACGCTGACATACGAGCAACTAATCTTCAACTGCACGAAGATGTCTGCATCCACTTGGAAAGAGTGATTGGCTTTACCGTTACGCCAGTGAATGGATATAGGATGAATAGATAGGATGAACAGGTTTAAATTCACAAAGGTCTTATATTAGAATTTTTATCACTCTCCTTCTGAGACTGCAGAGAATGTAGATCAAAATTGGTCTGATCTATAAATAAAAGTGCCGTTTGATCCTCCCTTAAACCATAGTTATACGTATATACGAATAAGGAATAACCTGGTGTATGCATGGACCCCACGTACCGTAGCGATGTACGATAACGATGCAGATGTTATGTGGAAGTCGTCACCAGTACTTTATTTAAGGATACAAAGCGATAAGCAATCAGACCGTGAAATAACAGTTGATAGGCCCTACAGTAACGCTGATAAAACGTTATCGGTTGTAAAGTTAAGTCACGATAGCTTGAATGACAGGCATAAGCCTTATACCACCGGCCTGTGAAGCGCACAGCTGCAGTCTTTTTATACTGTGCGTCGTTCAACGGTACTTGAATCATTGGAGTTTGAAACTAATACGTTTCATTGAAACCTTACACCAAAATAAAGTTCTTTGGAGATATAGACAGAAGAATTTTAAACTGCATCAGCGGATAGAAAGCATTTCATTTATATCAGTTTGTATTGTTTATTTTCGAGTTTGCCAGCAATAGTTATTCTTAACTGTTGATACGAGTTAATTGTTTTTCTGTTCAACCTTCACCTAAAATTTTTTCTTGATCTCACTCATGTTGATACGTACATTTTTTACTTCACATTCTTCATCCGTCTCAAATAATTTCTTCATAGATTTAAGGGAATTTAATTTCTGTTTTTGATATTCGACGGTGACGCACTTATTCAAGTTAACACTTTCTTTTTATGTAAGGAAGATAGTGAGACATTTCGCTATTTCAAACTCAACTGCGTGGGTTCTAATTATTGCGATATTATGGGAATATTTACTTCATTAGGACAATTTCTCAGCCATTACGTTTGCCTCCTGGAAATCTCGCTGCGTGGTTGTTCAGCTTTCGTGTCAATGTTTCCTTTCGTTTCATGAAGCTGAATCTTCTCAGTGCAATTACAAACACGCGAGTAACAGTCAGTCAAGTGCATGACGCGGTCTTTGCACACTGAGATCTTG